TTCATATACATCTAGTAACACCACTTCTGCAACCACTTCCTTATATAAAAAGTAAAGCTGTAATTTGTAATTTATCTTATGATTTGCTATTTATCTCGTTACATATTTAAAATTCTATTTGTCTACCATATCCCTTTCTCCCAACCTGATGACATGTGGCAGTTCACATGAGAGCAAAATTGTTACTTTTGCAAAGCAGTAAAGTAGGTACAAAGGACATAAAGAACCATAGTCCCTGACTCTAGAATTGATATGAAGTAGGCCTGAAATGGATATAGTAAAACAAGTGCAATACGTGAGAAACGAAAATGAAAAGTCCATGGAACAGGAAAGAAAGGGAGTGTCTGAGCAGTTTAGTACAGAGTGATACTGTTTGTTTTGGGGAGGTAATCCAGAGAGGAAGGGAGGATGTCCCACATAGAGAGCAGCAGCCCCGACAGCGACGGCTATTACAGAACCCATGGCCTGCAGGGAGCCCTCTGTTACTTTGTGGTCACAGCTCAGAAGGCCCATTCACTTCTCTGCCTCAATCTTTCCAGCTACTGTACAGGTTTTCTACACATCAAGTTTATTGTCACCAAGACCTGCAATTTTAAGGACAAATAGGACCTCCTCTCTCTTGGATTCAGTAGGGCTTCATTCTTGTACAACTTAGTGGGGAAGAGCTATTAAGCCTCTTGTTAACTTAGATTTAAAAGCTTCCATCACATACGCAGTATCCATGGCTGGATAAGTTTTCTGTGTCCCTTAACCAACCATGCAGTTTGAGGTCTACTTGAGAATAACTTTTCCTTAATTCAACAACCCTTAATTGAGAAACTGTAGACCTGGCCGTTTGGGGAGATCAATTCCTAACTTAATATCTCTCAGAGCCGAGAGAGGGAGACACGTATAGAAAACCAAACTGTGGTCCACAATGGTGAGTGCAATCATCAAGGCTGTCCACATACAAAGTAGGGATCAAAGCCTCTGTGAGATGAGGTGAAGTGTTAGAAAGGAGACTACCATGTCCTCTTTGGTACACAGAAGTTATCAACACAGAATTGTTAAAATGAAATATCGCCCTCGTTCTACCCGAAATCAACCAGTCTAAGAGCCAAATTTGGAATTGGTGAGCCTGGAGTTGGCACAGGCCTTAATATCTGAGCCGACAGACCCTGCAGACCCTTCTCTGTAACCCCTACATGAGGTGAGGCTGCAGGAAGGCAGTGGAAGAGCTCAAGCACTCACAACCACATGGAATATTGTCAGATCCTGGGCCACCCTCGCTCCCAAGGAACTCTCATGCTCACCAGGGATGCTCACAGACCCCAGACCCCAGATGGTGAATGGAGACCAAAGCCGCCCCCAACTGGGTCCAGAGCCCCCAATGGGAGCTCAGACCCCATATTAGGTTGGATTTAAGTTTACTGGTTTGCAAAGTCTATCTCACAAAATTCTGATAATCCACCAAGGAGTCACAGTATATCTATCTAATCTTTGCTGATTTATACGCAGGGAAACAGTAGAAAATAAGCATTAGTGAAATTTGTCAGTAATCACTGATATATTGTGTTGCTCACTTTAATGCTGTCCTGTGATCCTCAGCAGGACTCTGGACATTTTCTGACTTAGTTGGGCAGGACTTGCACACACATTTTCCAACTATGCATGCTCACCATCAAGCATTGTCAAGCCACATGGTTCCAAAGTGATCAATGAAAACCATAAATTTTCACATCTTGTGGGAAATGTGCATGTTCTTCGACCTTGGGCAGACAGGGACACTTCCTCCCTACATTTCCAGTGAGGACACTTAATCTGTACAACAAGAGTGTGTATATCTTGATATAGTGTTTCCCTTAATATGAGATAGCAATGCCTTTTCTGTCATTTAAAACATGTCCCTATATTTCCAGTAAAATAAAAAAAAAACCTCTTCCTTTTGGGAAAGATTTCATAATTCTGAATATTTGTTAAATTTACTTGGTTGGTTTTGCATATAAATCCAGGTCAGCCATGGAGGCAGTCACTCATCAGGAAGAAATTGCAACATGAAACATCATATCTTTACTGAACAAACATATCATTACTGGACAGTGTAAATTTTTAAAAATCAGTCTATTTGGATAACTGACATTCAGTCAGTGGTTGGTTCTGTAGCTCCCAAATCCCTTAGCCAAAGATTTTTGTGACCAGCTGTATTTCAATTTTAGAATTTTGGGGAATTTAGAGAGGTACACATTGTGATTCATATATTAATTAACAGCTCCATGAAAAACACATAGCAAAGCACATGGACACTTGCCCAATCCCATGCCCATTTCCAGTAAGGAGTTATGAAAAACCTTTTTCTCAGAGTTTTTTTTTTTTTCTTTTAAATTTGGAATTATAGTTAAAAGAGTGTTGACAGGTATTAACAAACAAAGTTGGCGCAGACAGTAGACTCAGATGAACAATAAAAAAACTAGGACTGGGAGAGTATTCACAAAACTTTAAGGCCTGAGAATGAGTGTTTGATTTGGACTTTTTATAAAAACCGAAGTAGGCCTCCTGAGAATTAAATGAATGCATACATAGTCTTTCCTCTTGTGGGCAAGAGTTATGGCAGTGAGGCCACAAGCCAAAGAGGTTGCGATGAGTGAGAGCCATACTAGCCAGGGCATGGCAGAAGCTTGTCGTGGGGATGACCCTAGCCACAGAAACTGTGAACAAGTGCTCAAGTACCCCTGCAACATGACTCTATATGATTCTTGAAAATATCATCAGAGCCAGTGAGAAACATGTGTTTGATAGGTAGGGATACCAAATGCAGAAAGAAAAAATCAGAGATGTATAGATACAGTGTGGTAGTCAGAATGGTCCCAAAGATGTCCAGATCCTAATGTCTGGAACCTGTGAATATATTACTTTGCATGGCAGATGATTAAGATTAGAAAGACTATCTTGGACTACCCAGGTAAATCCAGTCTAATCACATCAGCCCTTAAAGTAGAGAATTTTCTCCAGCTGAAAGCAGAAGAGAAAATCAAAGAGATGTGGCAGAGAATGAGAATGAGGCTGCTGGAGCGGGTCATGAAAAAAGCATAGGGATGTACAAAATCTCTAGGAGCAAAGGCCAGCCCCCAGGACAGCCTGCAGGGAATCAAGATCTGTCCTACACTCGCACAGAAGTAAATGAATGTGTGTTGAAGAATTAGCAGGGCAGTCCTGGCTTGCTTGCAAAGTTAGCTCATTCTCAAGATCCTAATGATAAGAGTGGCTTATGGTGCCTAATGTTTGTGCAAACAGTATGCTTTATCTCAACACCTGCCTACCTCTGGGAGTCTGAAATTTTGGTACTCGTAAGGCAGAAGATGCCTACGTAACCAGCCCCAATAAATACCTGGGCTCTGAGTCTCTAATGAGCTTCCCTAGTTGGCGACATTTCACGCAGGTTACTATAATTCATTGTCGGAGGAATTAAGTGCATTTTGTGTAACTTCGCTGGAAGAAGACTCATGGAAGCTCGTGCCTGGTTTCCTCTAGACTTCACTCCAAGCACCTTTTTTCCTTTGTTCATTTTGCTCTGTATGCTTTTGCTGTAATAAATCATAGCTATGAGTGTGACTGCACACTGGTCCTGTGAGTCTTCAGTGAATCACGGAACCTGAGGAGGGACCTGGGGATTACCAGACAACTTGGAGAAGTCTTCCTCAGAGCCCCCAAGAAAAAAAATGCAGCCCTGCCAACACCCTGCACAGAGGACCCAGCCAGGTCTATGGATTTTATACCTATAGAAACAATGACATAATAACTCTGTTTTGTATTAGGCCAATAAGGGCATGGTGATTTGTTATAGCAGCCTAGCAACCATCTAAACTATATTATTAATAATAAGAAAGTAGTTTTATCTGCATCTAACAAATCTTCAGGCCACATCCCTCCTTCAGTGGCCCCACTGCCACTGCAAACACTGTACAGATGTTCACAGCACTGTAATTTGAGAGTCCCTCATTCAGAGCAGACTATGATTTAAAGGTATGAAATGATAAATATGTAGCATATTACATATATTTTAATATTCTAAAAGTTAAGTAAACAAAATTTAAATCTCCTAGAAGAAGCATGGATATGTATGTAATAAAAAGTAGGAAATATGTCACTGATGCAAAATACAGCTGACCCTTGAACTACGTGGGAGTTAGGGGTACTGACCCCCCTCATAGTTGAAAATTCCCATATAGCTTTTGACTCCCCAGAAACTATAGTAGTCCCTCGGTATCCACAGGGAATTGGTTCCAGGACCCCCCCAGATTCCAAAATCCACAGATGCTCAAGTCCCTTATATAAAATGGTGTAGATTAATGTAGACGGTCCACCCTCTATATCCACGGACTCCTAACCGTGGTTTGAAAATGACACAGATATTTATTGAAAAAAATCCACATATAAGTGGACCTGCACAGCTCAAACCCGTGTTGTCCAAGGGCCAACTGTAATTTAAAGTAGTTATGATTCCAAAGGATCCCAAAGATCTAGAGTCCATGAAGTCCAAGGGGCCACATGGTGCCCAAGTTCCCATGGGGACAGCACATTTGACCCTCAGCACATCCTCCACAGGGAGATTCTCCATCACATGTGGTTTTAAATGTTCAGGGTATTTCGGAAATCTCACTTACTTAAAGGACATAGAAGAATGAATTCACTTTATTAAACAATGCTGAGGCAATACAAACTACTGTTATTGAACAAAAATAAAGTAGGTTGTATGTGACTTATTTATTCCCTAGACTTCACACTGTTAAAAGGAATAATGGGAAGACTTTTTCAATATTTCACTACATTATAAATTGGTTTACTTATTTCGTAAATTATATACAATGTATTTTAAAATGTCACATGTTTTACATTCACTTGGAAACCTTTTCAAGTAATTTAGGAGGCTCCATTTCTATACACGATTCAATAGATTTGCAGCAACATGCAGTAATTGGCATAATTTATACTGTGACAGACTGCTTCTCAGTAAAGAAACATACCCAGAGGCTTTCTTCTCGTCGATATTGCTTCCAGTTCCTCCCACCATCACTGAACATCAGGAGATAGTTGGTTACCCAGTCAGAGCTCCCGTATCTTCCCTGGGTGGCCACAGCTGTGACCTCCATTCTCTCTCCAAGGTCAATCTGCAGCCACTGGTATTTATTTGACACAAATGGGGTCCATCCACCAGCTCCTTTTTGTGGAAATAGAAAGGAGAAAAAATGGTAAGGAGAAAAAAATATTTTAAATCTGTATTAGCCTATAAGAATGTGAATGTTTTCATAAATGAAATTTATGAAAATCATAGTTTCAAATTCTGGAATATATAACCCCCTTATAATTATATACACACACATCCACACACAATTGAGATTGAGTGTAATTGGATGAAGCCCTACATTAATTGCTTTAGTTTTTAGCTCATAATTCCTGACTCTCTGGTGTTCTAGAGTCCCATTAAGTACTTAACGCAACAGGTAGACAACCAAACACCATGCCATTACATCAGTGCCTGAACTAGTGTTTTTACTGGCCATTATGCATGATTGCCCTTTGTTGGACACAAAGGTAACTATTCAGACCATGGTAGAACTAGAAAACCTTAATTCTGGATTGCTGACATTAGGAAATACAAGCTGAACGCTGGGATAACAAAGATATTATGGTGTAGCTCTACACTCAAGGTATTTACAGACTCATAGAAGAAGCAGACATTTCAAAGAACAATTCAATATGCAATGTGGCAGGGGTGGAGGTGAAGGGGAGATAGAGTTCTGAGAGGGCAGTAGGAAGGGTGAGAAACAGCCTGGATCAAGTGAAAGATAATTTCTGAGGTTTTCAAGATAATAGGTGCAGAGCAGAAATTACTGTGTTTTGGTTTGTCTAGGCCTGTAAGAAACAGAATAATTAGAGGTATCTGAGGGTCTCTTGTTGATGTATCTTGTACTTTCAGTTTAAAAAAAACAAGAGTTTTGAATTTGAATTTAGCTTTGTTATATTGAATTTCCTAATTTTAAATTAATGTAAATTATATATATATGGAAATAAGTTTGAAAAGCATTCTATAACTGATAGTTTGCTAATTACCCATGTCTAGAAAATAATAGTTTCTTGGAAACTATCCCTAATATGACAGAATTGGCTTTAAAAAAAAATCACTATTCTGACACTTAACTTGAGGGTCTGATAATAAGGTCTGACATTTTAGATAACATTTATTATCTTCCAGTAGGAGCTATTATTGGCACCATGCCCTGTTTGCTGAAGCCATTATGACCAAGCCAAGTGGAGAGTTTATGTCAAGAGGTATGTGACATGGTTTCAAGATGGCTTATAGGGAAATGGAAGTGGGGCGCTTACACCAGGGCACAGAAATATCACTTGGAGGTGGGAGATCTGTTCCCTCACTACATCTTCCAAACAGGGCTACACACACAATCTTTAGTAAAATCTAAAGCTTACAAGTTATTTAGAACTCTTTCTAAGGTTTCCTCATTTTCTGCATTAAATCTTTGTTCATAAATTCAGTATTTTCCTCTCAATGTATCATAAGCACAATGTCTATTCCTTTAATCCAGAATCTTAAATAGGCTGCAATTTTGGTTGTTCTATAATGCATTTTTTAACTTTTCATTTTGAAATAATTTACAGAAGAATTGTAAGGATGGTATAGAGAATTCCCAACTACCTTTTACCAGCTTCCCCTGATGTTAACATCTTATATAACTACAGTATTTTTTATCTAAGCTAAGCTATTAACACTGGTACAATATTAATGAAATGATATTTTATTTTGATTTTTCCAGTTTATCCATTAACTTCCTTTTCTTGTTCTAGGATTCTAACCAAGATTCCACATTGCATTTAGTCACTGTATCTCCTTAGTGTCCTCCAATCTATTTTTCAGTCTTTCCTGGTCTTTAATGACAAGATTGGCTATCACCTAACATCTTCCTGCCAACTTCTACTCTTTTGTCCAGGGTCCCGTCTAATGTTTGATAAATAGGAAGTCCTTCTGGGTTCTACCTGGGAGTGAACTAATAGACCTTGGTAACATCACTCTGCTGCTGCCCATACTTTATCATTATTGCCCCCAAAAGTTAAAAGTAGGTGCTGGCATTTAGCTAATTGTTTTAACTTAGAGATTCTACTTTTGAAACTTTATATAAATCAGTTTAAATCTCTCAGAAGCTACTAATTATCCTGTATTCTGGCTCATACTAGTTAGTATTAAAGTTCTAAAAATGTACTGATACACTTTCACTATCTTTCTTGGTCACTTTTAATTTCTTGAAGCCAGGAGATATCATTAACACAGGTGGTACCTTTGTTAATGATAGCAAAGTGGAGTAAAAAGTGTCGGCATGTCTCCAGCATGTGGCCCTGGGACCGGCCTCTCCCACAGGTACAGCTACATCTCTGCCGACCAGCCTTTAACATCTGCAGGTAATCAACACAGAATACTTCACATCCCTTACCTGTGGTAAGGAGGTACTACTGGTATGCAAATTAAGCTATTTGATTAACTAGATACTCTGATAAAGTAATGAAATTTCAGAATTCCCTGTGCTATGGGGCAATTTATTTAAGCAGGATAACATAGCCACAGTAATCTCTAGTCCCCTGCTGGGTGGTGACAGAAGCTGCTGTGCATGTACTGATGCCTCTTTTTTTTAATATTTAATAAAATGTCCAATGGAGAGAGTAGGAAATACACAATCACAACCTGAGAACTGTGAGGGAGCATGAAGTAGTTTTACTGACTGGTATGGGAGACCTACTGTTGTGTAACGGAAAACAAATCAAAATACACCAACACAATGTTAGAAGGGGTGTGCTTGAGCACAGCCACCTCTACAAACAGCAGTGTGGATCGTGGGTCTTAATCAGATCAGCCTGCATTACTACATGGTGCTAATCTTCAGTAATCTCTACATGGGAACCAACATCCCCGGAAACAGAACCGAGAGGTTCATAATTACTATTCTGGAGTCACCAATGCTTAACACACAAGAAAAGCACCTGACCCAACCACAGCTCTTCCACTTCCTGTACCACAGACTATCTTACTCCACTGCCACCCTCCTCCCTCCCACCTCAGTCTGTTAGCTGAATAAAGCTCACAATTTACACAAAAGAAAACATGTCCAGAGGGCCCAGCTTGCACAGAACAAGGTTCCTGAGCCAGGGAGGTCACCGAATACAAAACATCCCTCCTGCTCTTAAGGTAAGTGTGACAGATATGCAGAGAGGATGCAACAAGATATGCGAAACACCTAGTACTTTCCCTCCCATACACTTGTCATGGACACACTGGCAGGTGTCACTGCCATTGCTTCCAGGTGAAGGCAGGCCTACAGCAGGGTGTTGTACTTTTCAGTCATCTCATTACCGAATGGTTTGTTGCCTGCCACTTTATATTAGATAAAGGCAAGAAAACACCATGTGCGTGTGATATGCTAAGGACTCTGTCAGAAGCCTCATCCATCCTCCACATACCCAGCAAGTGGGACCGGCACTACAGTAACTGCTTTGCAGATTAGGAAAAACAATCACTTTAAGTTCTTATCAGGATATTTTATTAAAGCTTAGCTCTCTTTTTCATTCTCCACCCCTTCTAAGAACATATCCCTGTGGTTATTCAGCATCATTTGCTTATCGATAACCACACTGTCTTTTATATTGATATATTGATATATTTATATTGATATATTGATATAAACCTATATTGGAAGGTTTCCATCTCTACTTATTACTGTGTGATTGATTGGCTCAGACGCAGGCAGTGACACTTCCTTGGGGAGAGAAAAGATTCAATAGGAAATTTTCAGCTGGGGCCATTGATCATGATGACAGTGCTCTTGGTGGCCATGTGGCATGCACTGTCATAAAGAGTACCTGCTTTGTGTAGAGAGGGAAATCACCCAGAGGTGAAAAGTAAAATAAGCTCATGGCTTCTTCAAGTTTCAAGTCACAGAGCACAAAGATACTCAAGGGAGCAAAAGTCAAGGGGGTTTATTTGAAGTGAACAAATCCCCACCAATCTGAAGGGCATCTATATATATGCCAGGCAAATATATGGCTAAACTGAAAATGTCTCCAAGGGAAATTTCTCTCCAAGATCATTATTACATTGTCTAAAATGGGATCTCATCTAGCTACGTGTGTTTCTTCTCTCACTTAAATGCATTTTAATTCACAGAAGAATCACTACGAGTTCCAAGCAGGGCCCAGAGTGAATAGGAAGGTGAGATAAGCAGGAGCCCATCGCTGCTTTCCCTATGAAAGATGACAGGTGTCCTCAGGAAAGAGGAACTGGCAGGGGAGTGGGTGGGCTTTGTGAATGCTCCCTGACCTCCCTGCTCATTGATCTCTGGGCTTTACATGCTGAAGCTTTTGCCATACCCTCCTTATGTTGTTGAGAGGAATTTAAGCATTTGCTTCAGTTCTGATTTCTTAAGGAAGCAATTCCAGCTATCTACATATAGTATTTCTGGCTCTCAGGTTGTAGAAAAAGCAGAAATCCTGTCTCTGAACCTGCCTAAGTGTGCTTTTGTTCCCCCTTTGCTCTGTTTCCAGCTTTTTGCCAGCAGCCTGAGAAAGAAGGGCAGCTTCCCACAAAGAGCATCCATAGGAAAATGTCACACGTGGCTGCCTAATTGCAGAATAGAATCCTGTACGAAATGTAAATATACCCTATAATAGTTTTATGAATGAACAACAGAAAAATAAGTGCATCTTGGTCAATTTGAGAATCATATTAAATGCCAGTGATATTGACAAAAAAAAAAGCAACTTGTGACTGTTCATGGGTGACTCCCTGAATCCCTGGGTGCAGTGTCCCAAGGGACAAGTTCAAGTTCAAAGCAGTGAACACTCACTCAAATAAACAAAAATCTATTGCTACCATGTGTTTTGCTTTACTTTTCTCACATAGGCCCGTGACCAAGTTTTAAAGGAATATCAGGCACTCAGATCTCAGTTGATTTGAGGTTTTTCAGTTCTCATTTATGTGAAGTTCTGCATTGACAAATATACGAGATGACTCTGCTAATTTCTCACCTTAGAAACAAAAACAAAATTTGCTCAGAAAGCCTATAAACAATTTGAACATGTAGTCAATACCTTATTTATGACTGAATAAAATGTGTGACTGAGCCTCTTTGTTCATAATTCATGAAATCTTAATGTTTA